CAATCTTACAGGCTTCAGGTGAAGTGGCGTACTTAAATGCGTACTTAAATCGTCGCCACGACCTCCACCAAAAAAGGAAGTATTGCCACGCCACTTTTTGGCTCCGAGACCACCTTAGTCCACAAATTTGTGTAGGCAATTGTTAAGAGAGTTTACAATTTCTACTAGAGAGAGAATCCTGCGGCAGGTGCTACTGGACTGACGTCGGTCGATGTTAGAAGGTGGAGGCGGTGGTTCCCACCCCCGACCAATTGGAATTCACCACGTGATAAGCCATAACACTGCAAATGCGCGTACGAACAAAGACGCAAATAGTGACTAATTGCAAGGAGGAGGAGTAGAGGCCACGTCACCATCGGTTAGACGAGAGAGAAGAGGGGGAGGGGTGGGGTAGGGTACGAGGCTTACCCTGGACAACACCCATCATCCGTCTTCCGTATTAGTAATGCACAGCTCCCACTGGTCTCATCGCCGTGGAAAAAGTAGCCCTTCCTGTATCAATTGTTGCGGACGCGGGCAGAGTACCTCGACGAGAGGCTGCTGAAAGTCAGGGCAAGGCAAAACGACATTTTAATTTAACTATGAGGCCAACTGTCAAGCCCAGACACAAAAGACCCAAATGCACAGTAAAGCAAATATAAATTGAAATTGGCATTTTTGGCGATTTGGTGGGCCTCCAAATTGCTCGTGGAAGCATCAACAACAAATCTTCTGGGGGAGAAAATCGATAAATTAACTACACATGGACCCGATCGATATTCCACCTATCGTGTGTAAATTAGATGAGAAAAGCAGGAAAAAAAATCGATATATTCACCCAGTGGTTAATAAGGTTATCTGGTGTTGGTCTAAAACCTAGCGGAAAAGTGACCTACACAAACCGAAACTACAACCTCCTTTGACAAACCTTCTACCTCCCCGCAAATAAAAAAGAAAAACAAAAAACCTCACCAGAGCAGGAGCGAAATGAAGGAAACGCGTCAAATGCAGAACTGCCTTAGGTGTGGGGGCTATGCACGCCAACTGCAGTAGTCAGCCAATAGGCGACGCTTCGACCTTGGCGGCAGGGTGGTGATTGGTGCGTGATGATGCGAAAACGCGGCACACCCACCAATGGTGTGCGTGGAGGACATTTTGAAAAAGCACACGCCCTGGCCAATGGATTTTCGCACAGATGACTGCTCCTGTCAAGGGAAAAATCGATAATTGACAAGATGAGGTGATAAGGTTTGAGGGAGTTATGATGTTGTTGTGTTGAAGGCAAAAGTGGCGGAGAAGGAGGAGGAGGAGTGGGGTTCGCGTGTTGCATTGTGTGTACTACTGGTGGCGTGCATTTTTCATGCCGTTGTTATGACAGCAGCACAGTATCCATATTGTAGGTCAGACTTGGTGGTGCGCGAGACAGGTAAGTAAAACCTTGGCAATCTTGTTTAACCCCGAGACCGAGGCTAACGCGGACTGTGTGTGCGTGTGTTTATCACGACTGTGCGTAAAGGGGAGGGGGAGAGCGAAGAGGCAGTTAAAAGTTATCTGTGTAACAGTAAACAAATCGGGGGTTGAATTTCAGCTGTGGCTTAAGTACTCCGGGTGGCTATTTTTGGGGGCAATCCGTGTACTCTGTCACAGTCAAGACGGTGAGTAAAGGCTGCTGTCCCCTTCATAAATCTGCGGTGGTTATAGTCAGGGTTCAGCGAATCCCCAGCCGTAACCCACCTGCCCCGATGGGGTGGAGCGCTTATTTAGGTTGTTCACCAAGAGTTTTTTTCTTTCACGGGTTATAAATCCTATCTTTGAGGAAAACGTTGGATGGAATAACGACCAATCGCGACATGAAGCTGAACAGTTTCCCCCTCAATTTGGGGCGTTACCGGAAATGGGAGCGCAGAGGAGTTATCTTGACGGGCAGGGGCCTAGTAAATATTAATCCAGACCCCAGGAATTTTTACTATTCCACCGACTGTCAATGCTGTATATGTGAGGTGCTTTAAATTAAATTTCACTGAGCACTGGTCATTTATCAAGTTAATTCGATTCTACTTAAGTACTTAAACCACGGCGGCGGTGGGGGGGACCGACTAAAAAAGCTTACAGTTATGCAGTTCCAATTCGCATAAGAGCAATGGAATTGAAACCAAAAAAATAAATTATTGCCGAGATTTACCACTTCACTTTCCCAGGGCTACACACATCTCCCATACAGCGTCAAAAGCGGCTTAAAAATCGCATCGCCGCCACCACCGCGTAATCGATTGGTTCACGCGAAAAATCGATTTTAGCAACACGGCGTCCTGCGTGGACTCAACTCCGCTTATCGATCCGCTTGGCGGTAATTAGCACTCAATCGCCTCTCGCGCGTGCGCGCCAAGGCAAAAATCGATAAAATAGGGAGAGGACAGAATCTAAAACAGTTGGTGTGACGGTGGGGGTGGGGTGGGAGAAGAGGCATTGTTGCAGAGGCGAATGGTGCGGATGCATTCTCGTCGGTACTCCCTGTTTAGACAGTCAGGCAGGATTTAACACAAGCGATAATTTGTCACATCAACAGGCAGGCAGGCCATGCGCACACATACACACACACACACACAAAGAAGCGCGTACACGCATACACACACGCACACAAACAGTAGGCAAGCCGCTGTAGCTGCTACAACAACCCGCCTGCGTGTGTGTGTGTATGTGTGTGTGAGATGACGCATTCACGTCTCCCTCACTAGCATTCTCTCTCACACGTTAGCTCCATCTTCGCCTCTAGCTTGTGTATGTGTGTAGCTGTATGTGTACGTGTGTGTGACCTTGAAACCAGTAGTTCATTGGCTGCCGGAGGAGATGGCAATAGCTAGCATTGGGTATTGCGTGTACAGCGGGCTGGGCTGACTTCCGTTCAGTGGTGTGATGTTGACGTTGATGTTGGTGCATTGCGGGGCTTTTTTGCATGCGTGCGTGCGTGGACGTGCACGCGCCACAGCAACAACCGCCACATAAACAAAAGACGGGCGGTGGCGACGGTGGTTTTGTCTAACCTCCATTGCGTGTGCGCGTGGATATGCGTGACCTTGATGCTCGAACCGATTCATGTGGTGCCATGTGGTTTTGGAACTCAACGCCGGTAACAAACTGATTTGTCGGAAGGGACGGGGAGGGGGGAGTAAATCCACTAGCACTCATTCCGACGCTTCGATCTCCGGGGTAGTTGGATGGATCTCCAGCGCTAGATTTTCCAACTAAGCGCCTTAGTAACCTCTTCAAAGGATCATTTTGATACTTCTCATTCTGTGATGCAGATCGGGACCGCATTCGGTGACCATAGGGGGAAAGCATCCACTCTTGGGCGGGAAAGGCGGGGAGCGGCAGAATAAGTCTTGAGTAAGGTAAACATCCCAGCCCCAAGTAACTTAGCAGGGTTAGGGTCGAAACCGTCTATTTTCAACTGGCCTATCGTCCGAGGTGATTCGAAAGAGATGGTCTACTCCGCTAGGCGAATCCACCTCGGCTCCATGGATGCTCTTCCAGTGGCTTGTGGCACAGAGTTGATGACGCCCGGGGGAATGGGAGGTACCGCCAAGACCCATCACGCTCCTTGAAGAGGCTACTCTTCTCCCCCTAGTGAACTTAAATTACCGTGGCATTCAACGGCGAGGACCACTAACCTATTCCTCCACCTTCAAAAAACGCACAGGGAAGCGTGGATTGTTTCCTGCCCTGACTTGTGATGACAAATGGCATTTGGAGAACGAACAAATCATTGGCAAGTCCCCCTTCCCCCCGCCCCAACGATCCACCACCCCACCTGACACTTCCAGGGCAGGCAGCACTTCATCCTACAGGAGGAACCGTGCCTGGGTGACGGAATGCGGATACTAGCCGTCACTATGCGAACTTTTGTTTTTCCCGAGGGGTCAACAACTACGGTGAAGACCCGTCTTCCCAGTACAACGCGAGCGGATGGTGAAGGGTCTTCTTCAAGACCAGTCAGCGCACCGCCATCTCATCCCTCTTACTGGAAATCCTACCTGTGGGAGTGGAAGGAGGATACTGAAGTTCCTCACCCGGGAGGCAGGAAATTAAACGCAGGTAGGAATGGCGAAAAGAAGGCATTTGTGGAGATTGCGATTGACTTGTACCTTCTTTGGAAGGCAGTGGTAACTTGCAATGCCGTTGTAGATCAGCCCTCAGGCCTCGCCTCCAACACACGTGGAACAACTCGAGGCACTACAGCAATGCGAAGTCTTCTCACTGCAGCACAATTCCATCGTCGACGCCGTGATCACCTGTGAAGAAGGCCCCGGCAACAGTTGAAGGCGCCGTGGATGACGATTAAATCATGACACCGAGAGATGGCGATTGGTTAAAACCGGTTCGATGACTGCAACGGATGCCCTTTAAAGTTTGCGGTCACCTGGCCTATCGATGTGCCTCCAGTTAGATTCCAACAGCTGGGAATTACTTTCCTACTTCATGACGCGTTTCTTTTTTTCCCCAAGAGAGGAGAAAAAAAGAATTTTCTGTCTGGCCTACTCCACTAAAACCATCATTAGGGCGTAATGGCGATCATCAATCATGACGACTGTCCAGAAACCGAAGCGGGTCATAACAACAGAGTAATAAATTTACTGTTGGAGGAATTCCATCACTTAATTACACCACCACAGGAAGAGTGTCAAAGGTGCCAGGTTTGGCACGTTCAAGGGTCAAATGTCAGGTCCTGCTAGTAGTGGGCGATGTGAACTCCCCACCATGCCTTGCGTCATTTCTTCTCCAGACAAAGGCAAAACCATTCTTCCACACCTCGGAAATGCCTGAGGAGGCTACATTACCTCCATGCTCCTTCAACTATGTCATTCTTTCCTTCTCGGAACCTGAGGTACCGGATTTTTAGACCTGCAGAAGCTGGAACGCGCTGGTCGTGATCCCCTAAATGGCCCCGGCGGACCTCCTGCCGTGATTTTCTCAAGATTTTAGATACCTCCTCTCCCCCACGCCCCCACCTGCTGGTGGTCCGCTTAGAATACCAGTAGCATCACATCCACCTCCCAGGAGGGTAGAGGGACCACCAGGGCGGGGCTCCACACCACCTATTTGTGAGAGACTGAAAGAAGTCCCCTCCACTTCGCCCCCTCCCAATTTGCGGGGTGCACAACTTTTCCATGAAATCAATTTCGCTGCCACTTAAAATTCACACAAAATGCCATTTAACAGTCACTTTGTAAATAATTTAATAATACATGATTGCCATCTCGCGAATAATTCAATTTTGGTGATAATTAACAGTGCAACTTTTAAACCTCGAGAAGGACGGAAAAAAAAGAAGAATTCAAATGTACTTCAACTGTTCAATTGCTTCTTTAAAGGTGTGTCGAGTGAAAAAAGAAAAAAAAGGAAAGGCAGCTCACACAAAAATACAATACACGAGCCTTAGTTGAGGAGGGTGAATTCAAAGACGCTCTTTTCACAGGACTCCGGGTCGAGTGCGTAGACCGAGGTGACACTGAGGCCGCGAGCGTAGTCGTTGAGCTCCAAGGAGAGGAGGAGTGATAGCACCTCGTTCAGATTGCTGCAAATATTGCGTTTTAATAGCCACTCGTGGAAATCGGCGAGCACAAAAGCACGTTTCACCTCCCGTGTTGGCAATCTGTTAGGATGGAAAAAAGTGGAGGTACTTATACACTGCCAGTAGAAAGATAGATAATGGGTAAGGTAGGCGACTTACAGAACGGGCTTGCAGATTTCGACGACACAAGCGTCTAGATGAAGGAGAGCAAAACTCTCCGCAATTCTCCAACTGGAAGTCTGTCTTGTGGGAATTCTCACCCGCAAGCCCTCATCCCCTCCTGACTCAGCCTCTGTTCTGTGTCTTCTCGGCCGTTTAAGGGCCAGGAACCAAATGGTTATGCGCTCTCGAAACTTGGAACAGCTAAATGTGACAGAAAAATTGGATGGTTGAAAGAATGCAGAAGGGACAACATGCAGAATTCTTCCACTTATCCCTTAAAGAAATAGGCTGTGTATAAACTAAGTGCTTATCTGCACAAACTCTTCGCTGTCCAAGGATTTCCGCTGCGCTCATGTAACCATTTCACACCTAACAATTCACCACACTCGAGATGACACAATCAACATTGGATGGTCAGTTTTATAAAAAAAAAACAAGGAGACTTGCATCAGCAACAGTGGTTTGGAGATGCATTCCACATCCAATCCGTAGAGCGAAAAGACGAGGAAGCCCTGACCGAAATTGAAAACCTGATCTATAAACTCCAACACAATAACCGTCGTCGATATTCGCAGGTCCAGTAGCCTCCAAAGGCAGCCACACATTCCCTAAGAAGTGAAAAAGAAGGAAACTACGAATGAATGCCACTGCCCCGTCCACAATTGATCTACACGAGCTAAAACGGTCGAAGGCATCATTTTTTTAAAGAAAGACAGGGCTGCTTAACCCGAAGTAAATGCTCCCCATTCAATTTCAGCACCTCTACGATTACAAATTCATTTGCTTAATTAAAACCCCTGCACTTCGACACTCCCGATAGTTTTTAATCATTCTACAGATAACGAAAGTGGACTCACAAATACCATGCCCACAAGATTAAGACCAACTACAGCAAAGTGTCGATGAATTTGTCCATCTTTGTTGTTAGGATCTGCCGTGGACTCGGAGTCCTCCCCCTGAGTCGGTGATTGGTCAACTATCACCCCCGCATTTACTTCCTCCTTCTCAATTCCCTCGACATCGTTTGTTAGTGGAATGGCTTCGCTGTACAAAAGTGGACCAAAGTTGAACAAACTTCATTAAAGATATCCGCTATTTAAGAAAGGGAATTGGACACAAACTTACGGGAGGAGGCGCTCGGTCCCCGACTTAGCGGCACCCTCGTGGACCGCGCTGCCATTGGCTAAGGGAGCGTAGCCATTCTTAGCGCTCCTGGAGAAATTGCGGCGTGAAAATGTTAAACGCTTTTAAAGAAAAAACAAATAAATTTATTGTTGCAAAAATGGCCACCAAGTTAAAGATATGCTGCCACAAATTGTAAATTGGCGAATTGACAACTGTAGTTACAACGTGTTTACATGTTTAAAAAAAAAGACAAATTTTCCCTTTTTTGAGAAGGGTAAAAAGTGAAATAACTTGCTTACGAGGGAGTTGGAAGAACAGGGAAATTTGCTACCCCGAGAACTCAGGCAGAACTGCAGGATTAGGGGAACAACCGATCCAAGAAAGCAGATTATAAGTACTGCCAGTGTAAATTTTTGCTAAAATCATAAAAAAGGATTAATGATTTTTGGAATTTCCTTATGACTACAATGTAAAAATTACTGAAAACTCAATTAGTACTGGCTGTAATTTTTAATTAAATTGAACCTCAAAATATTTTTAAATAAGCCACGAGGCGTATTTTACTCGCATTTTGCTAACCGATTTGCGGATTTTGCAGTTAAAAAAGTGAGTTTTCAAAAATAAAATCAAGCTGTTTTCACGATGGGATATTCGCATTTCGACTTGCGGTCTCCTTCAGAAGACCCTTTCGGGGAGGTTGATGATGTACATCTGGAATGGATTTATGCCTGTGTCGTACGTGGAAGGCATCCACTTTGACAGGCTAAGGATATGAAGGCCATGGAAAGACCGACGACATTTGCTACCTACCACGGTGTCGAGGTTGGCATTAAAGGCTAATTATGGAGGTGGGGACAGGAGTTCAGTGCTTTGGAGGCACCCGCAGAATCACGGCTTGCATGGTTTAGGAGGAACAAAGAATAACTTCAAAAGGTGGCTAGATGGCATTGATACGGTAACGAAATGGAGCGGTTCTATCTACCTATCCATCCGTCCATCCATCAATCCACGCATCCTGGGTTCATCAACTTATCCAGCTTGACTACCAACACAGTATGTTTCTACTTACCTGCACCGTTCCATATCGATAGAATGGGTTGACGTCTTGGTGCCGAACATCATGGGAAATGATTTTCATGGAAACAGTGAGGAGGATTGGTGCCCTAAAATAGAAGTGGCAACAATTATTTTCTAGCAAATCAAAAACAAGGTCGAATCTTTGTTTTCTTCAAGTAGATGTAGTTTTCATAAGTGACAATCAGTAGCTTCTTCAGTGACCCCTCCATTGAAATAACCTCAGTTGTGATTTCAATTGCTTCGCCAATAGAACCACAAATCAAGACTAGACGCCCATCAGTACTAAGAGAAGTTTAAGGCAACTATGGAAGGTTAGACCAAGAGTGAGGCAGCAGCACCCTCCGATTCAATCACGTACCCTTTCAAGCCACCCCATACCACCTTTTTGGTAAACACCTCCTCACGTCACTTTCCTTCCACTGACTGAATAATCAAGATCATCCAATAGGAGGAAGTCTCCTTGTACACAACATTCATAGAAGTTGCAAGCTAGGTGTTGTGGATCCACAGTCCTCGGTGGTGAAGAACTGCTTGCAAGCGTGTTGCTGTGGGTGTCTAAGTAGTGTGAAGTGGGAAGGAAAGTGAGGCGAAATCCGAGAAAAACGGGTACGGAGGTGTGATGTCCTTCGGTAAGCAATTCCGTGAGAAATTTCCGGCATATGGAATGTACTCGTAGTCAAAAATTGCTTAACTCTCAGCACAGCCTAGCACATGATCCCCATTCTATCTCATGCCTGAGTCTTGTCACCTTGGCGACTGTTGGAATGGACGACATGGAAGGGTGATTACGATAATGCTCAGATCAAGACCGAAAACCATGGATTTTGGAGAGGCGCTCCAGACACTACCCCTGAGGTTACGCACTTTGACTGAGTGACTTACAACAGGCCGAAGATGTAGAAGACGGTGCGATTTCGTCGTGGCATCAGTCTAGCCTCACGTTGTTGAATCAGCATTCCAATGCAGATGAAGGCCGTCCACATGCGAGTACAGTAATAGGCGGAGAGGTAGAAGGAGAATTTGATGTAGTCGGTCAATGTGATGCGTGCTGTTGGATCTAAAACAGAAGATATCAAGTTTTCTCTATCAGGGGACTTAGGTTTCAGCACCATTTTGGAACTGTCTAGACGCCTGATTGAGCTATCCCCAGCCTTCATACACAGTCCACTGCTCCACTTCATTATGGACGATTCGCCCAATTCAGACCTTGTATCGTTCCTGATTGTGATGGAAGATTAAAACTAGGATGCATCTTTAGTAGTGCGTGTCAAAAAACCCAGTTCCTTCAGAGCTGATGCCTCTCTTCTAGAGGAACTCTCTGACGTACCAAGATGCGAGTCTACTGCTAACTGCCGGCTGAAGACACCACAATCTTGACAATCAGTAAAAGCTGTCAGACCTATTCGACCGCGCTGCCACCACTGTGGCATCTGAGGTACTGCTAGGGATGCCATCAAGTATTAAAATTTAAAGACAGCTGTATCCCAACCTTGTAAAGGAGGTAGAAGATCGGTACCGAGGAAATTACATTTAGCCCTCTACACATCCACCCACCCATCCACCAAAAAATGACATTGCAAGCCTCCTTGACAAGTCCAGGTAGCACAACGGTGACAACGACAGTGACAAATCCCCCTGCGCAGCATGTTTGAGCATATTTTTTGTAGGTGGATGATTCCATCTCGTCCATGACATTTTGTGTCACCAGAGGTCACTGATATTGTCCCATGCCTTAGTCTCATGCCAAATCCCTGGGAATAATTCACTTTGAGTGACCTTGACAATGTACTAACCAGCCCTCGTTGAGGCCACAAAGACCCATTTCTAAGTCATGACATCTCACGGTTTCTTTCTTCTTGGCAAAGTCAGTTCGGTCGGAAAATTAACTGTTACTGTTCAAACAAACGCTTTTGAGTAAACAACAGTAGCCACTATTTCGCCTGTCTGCCATCGCGAGAAGGAAGGTGGGGCACAAGCAAAATGGCTCTTAGTCGCCCCTAAGTTAACAAAATGATGATATGGCAATGTACTTTCGCCTATTCTTAGACAAGTTCATGAGTTAAAAGATAAATATACTACTCAAATTGAGGACAATTTTGGGAGAAGGGATGACAAGTAAATTGAGCTTGTAACTTCAGTTCTTTTGCAATCAGTGCATTCGTTTTCTTCATTTGGTCAAGATTCTTCCAAGACTAGGTGGTCATGCCCAACATATGTCCAGTGGACTCGATGTTTGGGCTGAAAGGTCAACAATTCGAGACATAGGATGGAGAAGTTCCCCTTAGAATGTCTCCAAGTAAGAGGCTTCAAGTGGTCTTGTTTTCGGAGCAATTGGTAGGTTTGAATTCGGGTATAATATCGTAGAAAACTTGATAAATAATTCGTGTGAGAGATTTTGACTTTTCTGTTCACCGTAGTGGATCACTAGCTAGGAAATCTATTGACTCAAGGGCTGGATCCGTTTTACCGTACTGAAGAGCTTTTTGACGAATGAAGGTGGATATCAGCTACATATCCTCTGCCTTGTAATCCGTGTGTTCAACAGGACTTTTAACCACGTCAACCGGACGATGCTACCATCATTCGGTGGGAACCTCCCCTTTTTTGGTGAATACTAAAAAAGCTTAATTTTCAACTTAGCAGTGATTGTTTTGCAATGTAAAATATTATACGAATCTCTTACCATATATCCAAGACTTGAAGAGTGCGCTCAAAACGACAATGTTGGTGGTAAATAAGGTGCAATCCAGATAGCAGATCACGAATCTGTGCGGCATTAGAGCCATTTTACGACCAGCTAGAAACACCACCCTCGTCCATAGCTGCAAGAGATAAAAAAATAAGAAAATCTCCCTCAAATAAGAGAGAAATGGAGCAAGGTGATGAAGGTGAACTTTTTTAGATAAGGAAGTTGCAAAGTCTGACAGATGCCTACTCAAAAATGTTTTAAAGACAATTTGCCATCTAAACGGTAATGATGATCTCGACCACGATAGAGAAAGCCCAGCGTGTGGAACACCCAATTTTAGCTAAATAAACAAATCTTAAACAGTACTGTACCAAAACTGAAGCACCAAAACGTCTTACGGTATTTCGGTGGTACTGACGAGTGGTTCTGTAGCAAAGCCGCTCTAAAGACATTAATTAAGCTCTACTGAAGCAGATGTACAAATATGGGTGGCGATAGTGCCGAAAAATGCGGAATTACTGCAGCTCCTACAATCACTTTTGTTCTGTCTTCAAGATAACTAAAAATACCGACCTGGCATGAACAACAATAGCCCTAGACTTTATCAAACTTCGCCTAATAACCACCAGATGAATGCTAATTTGTTGGCTGAAGTACTTGCCAAAATAGAATCAGGATCCATTTCTTATAATAACAGGCCAATAATTCGGGGATATTTGTTGTGACAGGAATAAATCAACCAAATAAAATAATCGGTGAGGCACTTACCCCAGTAATAAGACTAACCCAGGAGACAAAAACGGCCGTTTTTTCAAGAAAGTGCGCATAGATGGAGGGATCTGCTGAGAGCAAGTAAAGGATGCATTCATAGGCGAAAAGGCAAGGAAAGAAGAGGATGGTCCCAATTCTGATGCTATTTCCCACCTGGAAATACAATGAAACTTTAAGGTTTTTGAGCTCATATAAATGTATACATATCGAAAGGGTGAATAGTGAATAACTGCTACCTTAGCGCTTACAAATGACATTGACGTCATTAAACACGAATTGTACGCTTCCGCAAGATCTGAGCGTCTTGTTAAGTGTCATTCAAAATCGGGTAATTAATTCAAAATGGAACGTTTGATTCCACTCAAAAACCCGAAATCAAAATTGGAATTGTATAATTGCGGTAATGCCCCAGGGTAGTGATCGATAATCTCTTAAGAAAATATTCTGAAAGGAAAGCTATATGACTACTTCATTGGCTACGTTTCATACCTCCTAGACAAGTGATAGTGAAATGTTCGATCTGATTCGATAAAGGTTTTGACACATTAGTCACATTGAAAATGAAGAACCGGTGACTTTCCCAAGTTTATTAATTGTAAAGTGGGCAAATTTGTTTCGCTTTATATAAATCAGGCCGTTAAGTATTAGGTGGCCGATTACCCTGGAGACGCGATTTCTCATTAACAATTTACGGTGCCTTTGATTGGAAAAGGATATCGTTTGTCTTCAAGGTCATATTCAGAGAAGGAAAATATTAAACAAATAGTTTTTTACTAGTTTTATTCCTATATCATATCGGGTCATTAAGTTTAAGACATCTTCTTTCATTTTGGCTGATACACTGAGTTGACTGATAATTCTAGCTGGTCATATGTAGAGAGTTAATAGCATTTTAAACACTACTGACAGTGTGAAATACAGTTAATTTCACTGTATATGGGAGAAAATTTCCCCACTTCTTTAGGGGTAAGTATTAGAGAGGAGACACATGAAAGATTTTTTTGCTGCCTATTGAGACGTGTATTTTGGTTAAGTGGCTCATGTAAAGCACCTGATTTTATTTGGGTATCGATAACGCCCACACCTGATTATCACTTGGCACTATCTTATAGGGTCTATCTTCTCAAGCTCCAAGGGAGGATACTAAAATGGGTTTTTTTAATGCAAAGTGCAAATCGCACATATGTTAGACACTGTTGGGTAATACCAAACTTGGCTTTATTTTATTTTACAGGCACAAAAGTAGTCAGGATTTTCCTTCCTCAAAGTAAATAGTCCCTGCTAGTTCGCTACCATTGATCGCATGGGCTAATTTTTTCCCAAAGTCTACTCACTTTGTTGCCACAAATCTTAGCCAGGTCAAATTTTAGCCTGAACTGGTATTCATGCTCCTCCACCTCTCTAATATCACGATCACACACCAAGGTCATCGTGAACACTTCATTCTAGGGTGATGCATAAGATTATTTCATCCTCAATATCATAAAATTGGATTAGTATCACAGTCACGTGAACCCGATTAGTGAAAGCTTGCAGCACCGTCCTGCCTGTAATCTCAGAGGCCGATTGCAGGGTGAAAGGTAATGCATGAGACAAGGGTAACAACAAAGCTCACGGCGGTGCTTGTCAATACTTAGTTGAGTACGAATTTGACAGTCGGTAATTATGTAACTCTTTAGAAGTAACCCAAACATCGGTGAGGAGGACCTCACTACCGAGTTAATACATATAATGGAGTCAACTAGTTGCAGTGGCGAATAGAGCTAAGGACGGTGCTGGCTTGCAATTACATGGATTTGGCTTGTCTCTCATCTTTCCTCCTAAAATAGTCTCCAAGGTGAATTATGACGGAGCTGTCTAAGAATAGACAAAAGTATGCAGCCTTGGCGGCCTCTTGTTAATCTGGAGAAAGTAGAAGGCTGGTTGGTTCGTTATCAAGGTCACGCGAAGCGTGTCATGCGCTGGAAGTGGGCATGGGACAAGAGGACATGTCCATATTAGCGCACTCTAATCATCCAAAATGTCACTGATGCTGTGTCTCTGGTTTAAGTGATGAGGTAACTGTTGCCTGCAGCAACGTTACCATGGAAGTGACAGATACATTCACCTAGTTGAAAACCTGCTCCAACCTGTTGTGCAGGCACATTTGTAGTTGGCGTCTTCGGTCACCGTTACACCGCTTGAAGCACACCACCTCAGTCACCTTGACAAGGGAGCATGCAAGAGCATTGGGTGGGTGAGTCGGTGGAAGTGTGTGGATGGATGGGTGACGAAGATGAAGAAGAGGACTGCCGTAAAACGGCTCATCTCTGTTGCATCTTCACGATGTGATATGCCTTTATGTTGGTGATAGACACCTCGGAAGTGTACGTGAAACAGGAGACCATAATTAAAGGGCTTTATCGCGACACCCATCTCCTTTGCTCTCGCACTGACCGGTGAAAATACTGACAGATTACTTACAAGATTGGGAGCGACGGCGTACCTTGATGCAAGTGACAGGAGGGTAGCTCTAGTCGGAGCTAGAGAGTAGAGGAGGACAAATGTTCCCGTGGCATCCCCTTGAACATGGGTCGGAAAGAGGTTGTAGAGCTTTATTGCGAGAATTGGCATAACTAGCCTAAAAGTAGGGAGAAGAGGGGGCAATGAGGGGATGGGCATGTTCGATCAATGTGTAACGAGAATGTCCCAGCTAATCATAATTCTTTTTATTTCTGTCGAATTAATTATTCCTTTTCCCAAGACAAGCTCAGATTAATTGCAAATTTCTAGCAGTAGTCCCGTTCGATCAGTTACTGTGATAGTCTACTTAAATGCTATTTCAGTAGAAACTAACACTTTGAGTGAAAGAACGATGGTTAGCAGGGGTTTTTCCATGGCTGAAATGTTGGTGCCAGCATTTACGCAGACCAAGCCGAGGTAGAATAGTGCGCAGGAGGTGAAAGCCACATCTGAAATGGAAAGTCAACCCGTAAGACTTTGGAGCGGCTTTTTTCAGGCGCAGCTACTAATAATCCCACGGATTAGTTCGTTAATTATGACGCTATTTTTACGTACATGGAGCCTATGAGGGTGCTGGAAACACCCTAGGCACTATTTTGACGGCATCGTGGTGATGCTTTTATTCATTGCGCGTCTCAAAGCTAACCAATGGAACCAACTTCAACCTCCAAGGGATAGGCGATTAATTAGTGCGTGCATAAACTAGGCAAAAATCGTCGAAAATGCAACTTTTACAGCTTGCCTTTTCTGAACCTCCTTTTTTAATTGAGGTGATTATATAAAATGGGTCGTATTTGATGTTTTATGCTGGCAAATCGGAGGAAATTACTGCCTTCACATTTATTTTCATCTCAAGGACACCAAATCGAGTGATCTCGGGTGTACCTGCACCGAGAAAATTCACACAGCAATTAGGAGTCTAGTTTCGTGTAGCTCATGGGGCCACTGTTGGGGCTTAATCGCTACGTCCTCCGAGCTGGCGGCGGGGGAACCTACCAAAGGTATTCCCAAAGTGGGTGAGGGAGATGGGCGGACGGTTTCGAAACGCCACATTGCAGATCAAGCCGAGACAGAAGGCGATGAGCTGTGGATCCAACAGTATTTGGCACAATATCTAAAATAAAGGACAATTGGTTGTTTAAGTGCATCGCCGCGAGGGGCGCATCATTTGTACGGAGCGGGTTAGTTGTCAACATATCCGATTGTCTGAGAATTAAAAGGACATATTTAGATTATTTACTCATTATTTCAAGAAAAACTTCCGATTTTTACTCAGCTGTCAATAATTTGATTGAGAATTAACAACACCTCACCTAGGTAGTCTTCTCCCATAGTGGGCTGATTGAGGGGGCAGCCAAAAATGTCAGTTTGACGCAAAGCGTCATCGGAAGGGAACAAAAAGTTATGCGAACCTCCCACACAAAGAAATAAGCGATTCACAGAGCGTTTACCCCATAAAGAGTCTTGACAAAGTTTACCTATTTCCCTTTAGAATTGGCGCAATCGAATGACATGTCAAGACCCCTCTAGGGTGGATCCAAATGGAGTAATCGGTTTAATTTTCTTTTGTATTCGAACTTCAGGGGCACAAAGAACACACGTGACGCAATCACGCATAAAAACAAACAGTGCTGACCTTAAACAGAGTCCTCAAGGTCATGCGAGGCGATGAGGAGGAGGCGGAGGTAAGAGTAGCATGCCTCTGAATCATCCGCCGTTCACGGAAGACGTTCATTTCAAGGAGGAGAAATGCGATTGGTTTAAGGAGGAGGATTTGGAGGGCAACAACAATGCAACAGTGTTTGGCCATGCTTGGATGAAGGATTTGAACTGTAGATTGGGAAAGTTGCCATTACGAGGTGGTCTCGTGACCTAATGCTTCTGCAATTGACTAGTGTCAAGAAAAACTGTTCATCAAAAGTAGAAGGCGAATCAGTTGGGGGCTGCGGAAGGCAGCATCTCCCTCCAAAGCCATCTCATGAGATCCTCCCACAGATTGGCTAATCTCGGTCAGCCTCCATGAGAAGTTCTCCCTGTCCATCTTCCACAGAAGTGGCATGCAGGCAATTGTGGATTCACAGCCTGACTTAGTCTTCAACACCACTTTCGCTTCCCAATTGATGTGAGGGCAAACTACTTGTGTCAGCATTGAACACTAGGATGGCATGCGGTGTGGGATGCACTTGGCTTCAAGTGGAGTGAGCGGGTGAATGATCACTAGAATTAGATTATTTCCAGTGCTACTTGATCCTAAACCGTACGCTTCCATGCCGCTCCACTTTACTCTACCTTCATCTTCATCCTTGAAAAAGCTACAAAATATTGTACGAGAACCTTCCTGAACATCCCTGCGACCGAGTTTGAATTGGCGCAAAAAGCGGACAGGGTGAAATCACATCAGCTTGGTGGAACTTGTCACTTTTGCCAACATCAGAATCGTTCGATTAGGAACCGGATGAGGTGGATGTAAATGATTGTACTTCTTATGAACTTCTCATTGCGGTGCATGACATTACGCCTGCCAAGTACACTGCGAGTGCACTTTGAGGCGATAAACTCGAGAACCCGAAAGCCCACTCGAACCATCCATCGCTACAAAACAGTTTTTTGGCGCCTTTACCTAGTCATCTGATAAACTGCCCCCCCCCTGAAGGTAGGCCGATTAAATTGCACATCTTTAAATCACTTTTACCCACATTTTCATGCGTAATTACAAAACTTTCAAAGAAAGCATTCTCTGAAAAGTGCAGAAAGCCATCAGCCAAACACAACAGCTAGCTACCCGTTTACCTACATTTTACTGAATACGGGTTAAAAAATAGGATTCGAATTCACTTTTTTACCACAAAAAATAAGTTACTCCTGCTCATTTATTTTCCACTTCGTCAAATGCGTTTTGAAATTACAACAGACAAACGCGCAGCGACCCTTTGGCCGTCCAGCCTTCTGATTGGTCGACACGGCAAGATGTATGCAATTCAAGTGCACTTTTGGCCATGATTCGTGTTTTACTTTGCGCGCTACCCAGGCGATTAATGTGATTAGTTCAACAGCATTTGCCAAAACTTGCCCTTGTTTTTGTAAATCAAGGTTAGTTTTCTTGCTAAAACTGACCCTCAGTTCAGTTGAGGCTAAAAACTGACCCGCATAAGTGCCGCCGGGCCTTGACCGAATTTTACCCCCATTAGCATCTTCAAGTGGTCTGTCTTTTAAAATAAACACACCTTTGTGAAAACAAATTAAAACAGGTCTTAAAGCCGAAGGACTGTTTTGAATGGCGTGAAGGGTGCCACCATATGTGGGTGTTTTCTGAAGCTAAGAGTCAGGAGTGGGAATGACTGACTTGGGGAAAATTTAGAATTTGACATCAAATCTGCGGGGCTTTTCAGCCCATTTCACCCCTGGAAATAGCATTTTAACCCTAGAAAAGAAATTTTTCCTAGAGTTGTATGCATTGTTGCCTCTGCGGGAGTATCTCTGACAGACGAATATCACACCGAACCGCTGTAGAGCCTTACGTCCATTGAGAGTGGATGATTGTGTGGAGACTTGGGAGGAAGAGGGTTGTCAAAGCCGCGTCGACTCCTGTCACCTACCCAATTCCATTCCAACCAAGAGTAATGTAAGGGTCACTGACCAATGATTTTTAGATAAAGTTTTAGAATTTATTGGATTCCGCAGCCCTAGAGGCGCGGTCGAATAGAGGAGAACTGACGACGGGATCCAACAAAGGAACGAAGTCGAAAAACGACTTCAAGGCACTAGGTAGACATATTCACGCAGAAAAAGCGTCTGACACATTGTTGGGTGTCAATCAACATTCTTCAAGTAGACGAATGAACGAATCCAGCTGAAATCCAGGCGTTGAATCGCAATGCATTCTAGCTGCAGTCGATGGTTCCATGGCATGAACTTTGCTTGTGATCCCGCGATTAATGTTTCAATTCTGTGACCGCCGAAGCAGAAGGGGAATCGTAGAGGTTACCACACACACTTAATTTCCTAATTTCCCATTAATCAGCCTTCAGGCTAGGCTTATGGGGACCGGAAATGGGTTTTCCAGCCCTTTCCCAAGATGGCAAGAGCTAATAAAGTAAACAAGCAACTGTGAACTCACAGGTAGGATACATCACAGCGATATCGTTGGAATCGGTCAGCAGAAGACTGACGATGGCAGAGAGACCTAACAATTGACCTCGCGAAATCACTAAGCAGGCAATCGTCGAGACGAAGAACATCAGTAGTCGGGCGATGAATATCGACCAGATGGCTTGCCATTGAATCGCTTCCAGACGAATTGTCATTGTCGTCTATGCAAGTAAAGAGCCAATCAGTCAACCAGAAGAAAAATTTGTTTGTTTGTTTAACTGCTTCAAGGTTTTACGTCCGCGCGATACAGCACCCACGATGGCGTGGATTACCCCCGCTTCTCGGTACTTCCTGATTCGCATGACTTGGTACGTTTTCAGCGACGTTTCGAGCACCGCCTGAACCACAGCATGGTAGTATAAGCGTGGCATATTTCTCTCTTTCCTCCTCTCTCCTGTGAAGCATGTACCCGTTTTGGTGGATGCTGCTACTTATTACAATTTCAGCGGCCACATAGTCGCAGTAGAATATCTCTAGTTATAATAATTCCTTAACAATTTCTAGTCAGAATTTTTCCACAAAAGAAACGAAAAAAGGATTTTTATTACTTAAGTTGCATTGGTACGACGGAATTGCTTCCCGTTAAGCTATTTGAGTGCTACAAACCGAGAACTGGTTTAAGGGCTGTGGCATGCAAGGAGTAGAAAGAGGCGTAGACAGAAGAACTGTTTTAGCATACAATATTAGGTAGCCTGGACTCTCAATAACAAAAAAGTGAAGAGTTACATCAACACCAATGTGTGTATCGCCTCCACCGGTGTGACTCACTCAATCCAGCTCCATTCACACCAACACACACACAACAAGAGGGTGTGGTAAAATTTGGGGAGACCAATGAAAAGAAAATTTATGACAGAAATGAGTTCACTTAGGTAAGGGTTAATAGGCAATTTGTAAAGTAAACTGGAAGGAGGGTTTTAAAGCCATATAATGGGAGGTAATTACCCACATGGCGCCTCGAGGGTTATTAGGGGGGGGGGGGGGAGGATTTGTGACCCTGTGTGGTTAGCAATTTATGACTAAAAAGTTAGAAGAGAATTTTATTATTTAGGCTGACTTAAATTAATTCCAACAGCCTTAAGTTGTCGCAATACGTAGGTTTTATTTCTTGAAAAAAAAAATGCTCCGTTTCTATGGCATTGCTCGTTTCATGACGCCGATTTGGTGATCGAGGGGTTGTCAACATCAAAGCTCAGATCAGCCTCACAGATGATGTTTGTCGAGGAATAGATCAAAGCGGAAAATAGTTTGGTGATGCAACAAAAGAACTATCACAACAGGTGAAAGGGTTGTCACTTGACTTGGAAGGAGGCGGTAAACACAATCCTCCCATTGCTTGCTTAGAAAGTGGAGCAGACCTGACAAATCAACCGTCCAGGCGTAGCAAAGGCCTTCAAACATGACCAGAACTGACATGGCATCCTTAAGAGCACACAGATAGGGGGCATAAGCAATTGCGGTGTCATGTTGCCGTGCACATGTAGATCGTGACGTTGTGATGAGGAGCACAGACATCCTTTTTCACCTGTCATAGGCTGACACAAGCCAAGACGCCTTTTACACCACTTCGAGTAGTACCAGGTGGGCGTCATGAAAGTGACAACGACTAACGCAAATTAGATTTGTGCCTAAAGTCCGCTAAAGAGACGTAAACAAGTACATTTTGGGTGGTGGTAGGGGAAATTTCTCCACCATTCAACTGTACGTGGGGAGTACTGGTCTTCAAGAAACCCATAAATACAAAATTCAGGTAGGAGGAGATGATTTTACGAGCTGTGAATGGGAGTAGTTGGTGAAACTTGAGTGCCTAAATGAAGAAAATCACTGGCGGGAGTGGAGGAATGTTACAGTGAATCTAATGTCGCCCTTGTCATTGCTGGACGTTTTGTGTGCCAGCGGACCGTAGTGGAAGCCTACCTTATCCTTCTATGTGTGTGTACTCGGTGACGTCTTTCCTGAACGCATTTGTAGTGTCTAGTGATCCAGACGTCCTTGAAGAAATGATTTCTAAGCGAATAAGAGAAGGAAATGAGAGGACAAGGTTTTGCATTTTATTACACTAATGAAGTATTGGCCGCAAAAAACAGATGGATGGATACGGGATGGACAAATATGGAGTGGATGGGTACGGGATGGAAGGAATGACGTTTAAATTAGCAGGTCCTGAATGCACTACTGAAGCTTTTACCCACAGACGTGCATGGACTGGACGAATGGGCCAGTGGATGTGGATACCACGGACTAGCGGTCAAAATCAGGTAAATTGTTGAGGTAAATTCATCATTGCATCCAACGGGCATTTCCAAGGCCTCAATGGGTCCGCACACCGTGAGATAGTGAAATTTTGACATCTTAGGCGGCCACGCCTTTTTAATGTTTGTATTTTTAGTGATTCCAAAGTAGATTTTACTTTGGTCAACACGTGAATTAAACGACCTGTATTTACGTGGAATGGTTTACGATGACGTATTGGGGGCGGGGGAGGTTTAAGGATCCTCCGACAATAGGCTTGCAGAAACAGTTAAATAAAAGACAATGATTCAAAAGCAAAGAGATGGAGTAAATGGATGGAATGAAAGGATGAAGGGGCGCTTACATGACCGCAAAATGAATGAATCTGTAAGGAAAGAATGGATCCACGGTGGAAGGACTTAAGAAAGATGGGGGTATGCAGGTCCAAGAGATGAAATTGAGGATTAAAGTTGATAGACGAGTTGGGTGGACTTGGATGGATCCCTAATCCATCCATCCTGGATCCATCCCTTCATCCATTCATTCATATACTTTGGTCAATTCTCCCTGTTTTCAATCATAATTTGCATTTTTTAGACCTTAGATTACATTAGTGCATTGATTTATAGCAACAAATTCCACTCGAATAATAAATTTAGTCCTTTTAAATTTTGGCCATTTATATTAGGCACCCTTAGCAGTATAAAGTGTCGATTTCATATTTCCTTTCGCATTTGCTTTTATCAATAACAAGAAGGTGCTGCAGGAGTATTGGTTACCAAGGTGTCGTTTTAAAAATAGTTGTACATCGAATCTAAGTATAAAAGTCAATGGCGATGCAAGGTACTCTTAAAATTCCAAGTCTTCTTAAAAAGAGAGCAAGTGCTTACTGTAAAGAGAATGGCCGAAATGGCATATCGATAAACGAAGCGACCAAATCCACGTGCCTGGGCCTTGGAAAGGAGTCGAAAATGCCCGACAAGGAAGCCCAAAATAATCAGAATATAGATGGTGAGAAAGACGGAGGTTAGTCCGGCAAAAACATGGTTGTATGAGGCGGAATAAGTAGTTATATTTCCCAGGCCATCAGCAATGTCAGTGGTTGCAAAAGTACCCAAATCTTTAGTGCTTTCGCTGGTAACGAATAGTGTGGAGTTCATTTGGATCTAAAAGCCACCTAAAAATAAAAATATCGCAGTGCAAAATTTTTCGCTTTAATAATAATATGTGATTGATATTCACTTCAAAAATAGAACGAAATTTGTAAAACGTGCACAACTGCACAAATTATTAGATGAAAAAAGGTAAACCTTCGAAAATAAAGGCAATTATAAAAAAGAGCATGAAAGCATTTTATTTAAAGGTAGGCATGGTAAAAAACTAAAAAGCTTCAACCAGAACCAACAGCCTAAAAATCATTAAAAAATTCGCATAAAAGCTCGAAACGATGTTACATTAAAATAAAACAATAAACGGTCCATGGGATATGTTCTTAGATTACAATTTTAAAAGGGTTTAGCCTCCCATAGACTCACCTTACGACATTATCGGATAAAGAATAATAAAATACCGCGCAAAATTAGCTCCTTACTACTCTTTAAAGATGCCGCAAGGTCGGCAGGGCCTGCAATAAATGTGGGAAAACTAGGAAAAGCGACTTCGCTATCTCGAACTTGCTACTTTTGGCTTTGCAATAAAATTACTAAATGCACTTAATGTATTGTTTTGTTCGGCTGAAAAGTATTATATTATACGCTACACTCAGATATTTTGAAAATAGTTTTATTTAAATGAACCCCGAAGTACTGCATTAAATAGACACCTACCAATTTTTTCATTTTTATATTATAGCATTTTACTCAAGAATCCATTTGTTGGTAAGAAGTGAACGTTGTACTAGAGAGTATTAGGTATTCTGATATTTAAGTACCCATTAATGGAAACGCTATAAAATGCTGTTAAACTTTTAGATACTGTATTTTAAAGGCAGTCAAGCTTAAATAAAATGCATGCGTTTGATCTACGGAAAGGACTGGGCTACGGGCATGAACCAAGGCACAGTCTACAAAGTGAAGACACTGCTGCTGCGGAACAAAGTGATCCTACGCAAATAGCAACATTTAAACATTTAATTTATTACAAATTGCACTATGTCCTTCCGGGTATTTTGCATAAACCGTTTACTTGAGGTGGCAATTTGCACGCACCGTCCCGTGGCCTCCCTGCCCACGGCTGAAAACATAGTATTTGGGCAAAGTATGCATATTTGATGTGCCGCAGTATTAACTTTTGAGGTATAAGGCATTGAAAGCAGCGCTATAGTGGCCCCTTTACTAGACCCGAGACGTAAACTAACATCCTTCGCATTCCTTTTATTCACACAAAAATTTTTGCATTTTACTTACACGCAATTCCCTATAGAGCTGTTTTCGCTATTTATTTGGCTTTACATACTTTTTGAGGTACTCGTTTTCTCTACCTCAATTTTGCGCATAAAATCTATTAATTTATTGCACATCTCCAGTACATAAAATCGCCGACTAAAAGGTTTTACTATGGCAGTTTAAGTGTCGTAATCGCCTCAGCTGATATGCTTGCATTATGCTACTATGCTTATATCAATTTTAATCATTTTTTAAGAGTTTGTTTTAAGTTATAATGTAATTAAGCAGCTTTTCGAGTTTTCTCATTTCCGCGGGTTCCTGTGTCAAGTTTTTTACTCTTTTTCTAACATTCGTAATGATCCTTATTGAACCCTTTCACTCGGCTGTGAGAGACGTTGTTCTTGCTCAGCTTCAAGCCTACAAGAATCACCTCCAATATCCTGATAAGTAATATATTTGACTAATTTATCAGTGTCATCTATAAAAATCATGTAGTTCAACGTGTTTAGTTGATTTTTTAACTGCGTATTTTACTCTTTTAGATTCCAAACAGTTGCTGACATTAATGACAATGTAGCGGATTTCGATGGCATACTCTACTCTATTGTCCGAAAACCCGATAGTAATATCCTCACCGTCAGCATTTCACTTTCCTTCTACAAGGAAATTGAAAAATTTGGCGACTCTAAGGTTTTTTACCTTTGTCTAATGTCCAATTTTTCGTATGAAAGGTTCTTGTTAGGGAATATGGAAGTTACCTAAAGCCTGGAGCAGAATCGGGTACTTCGGTCACTCTGCAATTCGACTGCAACCATCTGCCAGATAACTTGGAAGCTCTTGCCACAAAAGCCGCCTTACTTCGTCGAAATTGTTTTGCCAGCGTGTTTGAGCATTTCTTCGACTATCAGGTGGCTAATGCTTCTTCACCCTCGGCTAAAATTCTCCAGGGAACTATCCACTTCCGTTCTGATGAGACAATGTAAGTTTCCCTAGTCCGTTACCTTAAACGGTTACGTTAATCGTTAATAAATGGGTAGCTTTTGATCAGATAATTACTCAGTGAAGCATCGGTTGCTAAGCTTGAAATGGAAAAGTGTCTAGAAATATAATCCCTACTTTCTCCATTCTATGATCGTTGAATCCGCTCAAAAGTGATTCTTGGTGTTATGTTAGAAATGCGCTAATCCTCTGACCCTCATCCTTTATCCCTTCTCCTTTAGGTTCGTCCAAGCCATGTCAGATCGTGTGACTGTCATCTTCAGCACTCGATTTAAGGATCCACACGATATTGTTCTGGGCAAGGTCTTCCTTCAGGTACGGCTTCAGATGATATCGTTTTAAACGCATAACCTGAAATCCTTTAAACTACCTCTAAAGGCTTAATCAAACTTTTTCCACTGGAGTCTTAGGCATAACAAGAATGTGAGCCTCGGCAAACAGAGTTGGTTGTACTCATCCTTGAGGCAGCAATTTTGATGTTGGAGAGGTGCAAATTTTCTTGACGACGTGCTACTGATGCTCATGAATGTGTGAAAATGGGGTTAGTGAAGGTAATCTTTCGGACGTGGTCACCAGGGGGCGTTGGTACCTCATTCCATGTGATTCTACTGCCAAATTTGAAGCCAACTAATGTCTACAGGGGATCTGGGACCTTCTAAAGAAGACGCCTTAACAACTGACAGTAATCGAATCAACAAAGAGGTCCACTTAGACCTCATTTTTGATTCATCCACAAGTTGATCGACTGTAGACTGTCGTACACTTTAACGCCTAGAATTGTTTAAGTTAATGGTTGAACCTTCCCCTCTAGCATTTCTTCCAGAGAACTGACTAATCGGTGTTCTCCCTTGTCCTACTTGTCTCTCCTTACAAGGCACTTTCAGTGGTATCGGCGTGGAACAAGTGAACTGAAATTGCGTGCCAAAATGACCTCTGAACTGTTGGCATTCTTGCCTCCCCCAATTCTGTTTTAATGATGACTTTTGGTAGGCATCAAATTGCCTAGTGCTAAGGCAAGACGGGATACGAGAGCAACACCGTTACAATAAATTAGACTGCAGTGCTAAGCGACACTTTCGATTTCGTGGTCACCGGCGTTTCCGATAGAGCCCACCAGCGACTTACCGGCTTGTAATCGCACCCACCTTAATTGGTCAACTCGCGTAGCTTGTCAACCAAGCAGTCGTCAGTGTTTACTCGACTTTGGTCTCATCGCACTGATGCCACCTGACGCCAATCGGTCGTCGGTTGAGGAATACTACTGAAGTGGATATGAGCGACACCGCAGCGTTGTGTTGGTGATGCTGTAAAGAATGGGGAGGGTGGAAGGGACTTTCAAGAAGGACTGGACGACTAATAACACAGCTTCGTGTCATCACCCTGAGGATTGGTTTTCCAACAAGGCTGAGAAAAACTGGCGTTTTCTTGTTTTCGGTGGTGTCCTCAGTGGTGCGGGTTTTCAGTCGCCATCGAGACTCCAACCAGAGTAATCAAGAGGGAGAACGACGTCTTCAAGTGGATGGACGTCTACAAGTCCGCATGCTACGGTGAGCAGGTGGAGTACCAGGATGATCACTGGCTTAAATGACCTTGACCTTGCCATGAGCATCGGTGTGTAGCATCTGCGTGTTCTGGAAGGTCCAGGAATTTTATACCTTGACGGGAACTTCTGCTCTACTCAATGTTCTACTGATTTCCTTCTCCTCTCCTCCCTTGGTATTTTTGTTCATCTATTTGGACTGTTTTCAGTCTCTTGCGACACAGGTGACAATCCTCTGCTCCATGAGGCGAATTAGATGCAAGCCTCTTCCATACAACTCTGTGGTTGGGGTCTTTTGCCGGTCCATTCAGATGAAAACCTTCATTAACATGATTTGACAGAAACAGTAAAACCTATTGCGCATTTCTCAGCTCCTCCACCAATGTAGCGGCCAAGTTATCCATTAGGGTTTTATAAGACGTACGAGTGGGGAAGGGCTTTGATACCGGGGCCGAGAAGAGTTCCATACAACTCTGTCCAAAAGCGATTCTTTTGTAACTTCCTGAGAAGAAACGAATTTATGACTTCAAAAGATTAAACGTGATGAGGATAATTTTTGCATTTCAGGAGTTCTCGGAGGCAAAGCGCCGTTATGACGGAGCTCCACAAGTCATTTATCAACATCGTGATCCACCAAAAGAGCTTCGAGGCACGGATGCAGTTTCTGGTGAAAATATCTTTTACATCACTTTCGGTATGTTAGATTCATTCAATATGAATTCAATTCATTCATCCCGTACACATCCATCCATCCATCCATCCATCCATCCATCCATCCATCCTGTATCTATCCATCCATC